CAACCTTGGCTCTTTCATGACTCGTGGACTTCAACTCCCAGAATTCCTGAGCCAGCCATGCTGAGGGGAAAGGTAGAGGTTTCCAAGCTGAGCCAGGCTGGCTCAGGAATTCTGGGAGTTGAAGTCCACCAGTCATGAAGGGGCCATAGTTCCCCCATGCTGGCTCAGGAATTCTGGGAGTTCAAGTCCACAAATCGTAAAAGGGCCAAGTTTCCCCACCCCTGGCCTAGGTCTACCCTTTTCATGACTGTCTTTTCATACTCTGCCTAAATAGTTCTTGATATTCTGCATAATGCCTAGGCCAGGGGTGGGCAACCTTGGCTCTGGTGGACTTCAACTCCCAGAATTCCTGAGCCAGCCATGATGAGGGGAAAGGGAGAGGTTTCCAAGCTGAGCCATGCTGGCTCAGGAATTCTGGGAGTTGAAGTCCACCAGTCATGAAGGGGCCATAGTTCCCCCACCCCTGATTTAAACAGTCCTGGACAAATGGCTGCCCAATCTTTTCTCCAAAACCTCCAGTGACGGAGCTCCGCCATGCTTGAAGGGAAGCTGGTCCATACCCATCTGGGATGCATCCCCCAGCTGGACACAGGGCAGAGCAATTTTGGGCCGAGAATGAGCCGTAGGGCCAGTCCACCCCTGGGCAGGCCCTGGCAGGAGGCCCGGCCATCAGGTCTCCAGGGCTTTCTGGCCAACAGAGAGACCCTCCTGCACCTGCAGCTGTTTCAAGGAATCCAGATGCTTCCTTGGTAGAGAGTCTGGGAGGAGACGGGCAGGCACCTGCCCTGCCCTCTGGTGTCTGCTTGGGGCAGTGCCAGCACCTTTGGCAAAGTAGCTGCCTTGTGGGCATCACCCCAACCAGCCCTCCCTGTCTAGTGGGGGGTGCAGAGAGAGATGCCCCTCCCTTCCTGAAGTCAAAGTCATCTCCCAGGAGTGCTCAGAAGAATAGAATAGAATAGAATAGAATAGAATAGAATAGAATAGAATAGAATAGAATAGAATAGAATAGAATAGAATAGAATAGAATAGAGCTGGAAGGGACCTTGGAGGTCTTCTAGTCCAGCCCCCTGCTCAAGCAGGAGAACCTATACCATCTCAAACAAGTGACTGTCTAGTCTCTTCTTATAAACCTCCAGTGATGGAACGCCCACGACTTCTGGTGGCAAGCTGTTCCACTGGTTAATTGTCCTCCCTGTTAGGAAGTTTCTCCTTAATTCCAGGTTGCTTCTCTCTTTGGTCAGTTTCCAACCATTGTTTCTCATCCTGCCCTCTGGTGCTTTGGTGAACAACCTGGCCCCCTCTGCCTTGTGGCAGCCCCTCAGATACTGGAATGCTGCTTTCATGTCTCCCCTATTTCTTCTTTTCTGTACACTAGCCAAGCCCAAATCCTGCAGCCATTCTTTATATGTTTTAGTCTCCTGGCCTTGGATGATCTTAGATAATAATAATAATAATAATAATAATAATAATAATAATAATAATAATAATAATAATAATAATAACAACAACAACAACAACAACAACAACAACAACAATAATAATAATAAAGTTGAAAGCTACCTTGGAGGTCATCTAGTCCAACCCCCTGCTCAGGCAGGAAACCCTACCATTTCAGACAAATGGCTGTCCAGTCTCTTCTTAAAACTTCCAGTGTTGGAGCATTCACCACTTCTGGAGGCAAGGAGTTCCACTGGTTAATTGTTCTGTCAGGAAGTTTCTCCTTAGTTCTAGGTTGCTTCTCTCCTTGATCAGTTTCCCTCCGTTGCTTCTTGTCCTGCCTTCAGGTGCTTTGGTGAATAGCTTGACTCCCTCTTCTTTGGGGCAGCCCCTGAGATACTAGAAGACGGCTATCATGTCCTCCCTCATCCTTCTCTTTATTAAACTAGACATACCCAATTTCAGCAGCCCTTCCTTATGTGTTTTAGCCTCCAGTCCCCTAATCATCTTTGTTGCTCTTCTCTGCACTCTTTCTAGAGTGTCAACATCTTTTTTACATTGTGGTGACCAAAACTGGATGCAGTATTCCAAGTGTGGCATTGTAAAGTGATCTTAACACTTCACGTGCTCTTCTCTGAATTACTAAGGCTTTACAAAGTGATACTAATACTTCACGTGATCTTGATTCTATGCCTCTGTTTATGCAACCCAGGATTGTATTAGCTTTTTTGGCTGCTGCTGCACACGGCTGGCTCATGGTCAAGTGATCATCCACTAGGACTCCGAGGTCCCTCTCACAGTGGCTGTTTTTAAGCCAGGTCTCACCCAATCAGTATTTATACCTTTGGTTTTTCCTGCCTAAATGTAAAACTTTGCTTTTCTCCACATTAAAACTCATTTTGTTGGACAGGGCCCATTGTTCAAGTTTGTCAAGACCTTTTTGAATCCTGAACTTGTCTTCTGGGGTGTTGGATGCTCCTGCCAGTTTGGTGTCATCTGCAAATTTGATGAGTTCCCCTTCTATTCCCTCATCTAAGTCATTGATGAAGATATTGAAGAGTCCTGGGCCTAAGACGGAACCTTGTGGTATCCAACTGCTTACTTCTCTCCATGTGGATGTAGTGCCATTGAGGACTACTCGCTGAGTACGGTTTGTCAGCCAGGTACAAATCCATCTGGTGGTGAGCCCCTGGTCCAGGAAGAATGGCCCTTGGACCAGGCATTGCACCCAGTTTGGGTAACCCCAATATAGACTCTGGAAAGGGTGCAGAGAAGAGCAACAAAGATAATCAGGGGGCTTGAGACAAAAACATATGAAGAACTGAGTAGGTCTGAGGCTGAGGAATTCTGGGAGTTGAAGTCCACAAGTCTTAAGGTGCCCAAGGTTGAGGACCCCTGGTCTAAAATATTAGCCATCTTTTGAGGGTTTCTTTTGCATCTTATGTTATAATATTTTCTATTCCGTTTTGATAAGATTTTTTTATCAACGGAACAACTGCAATGTTGATGCTATCAGAGCTTTGAATCTGAGTCGTAAGCAGCTTCTTCTGGGTCTATTTTTCTGCTCCGGGTCCTCCTGCAGGCCAGGCCGCACAACCAGGGCGAGGGTGGCCGAAGGAACAGCAGTATCAGGACCATGGACAGATCTCTGGTCTCTGCTGGCTGTTCCTTCCTGCGGGGTTGAGGAATTCTGGGAGTTGAAGTCCACAAGTCTTAAAGTGGCCAAGGTTGAGGACCCCTGTTTTAGACACTTCAAAAATTCAAAATGGTTCACAGAGGCTCCAGCAGTGTGGAATGGCCCACCTGGACACGATAATTCAACAAATACAAAAATTAATTTCAACAGAACTGTGGCCAATAACAATAAAATAAAGTCAATCCAGAAAGGAGTGACAATAATTTTGATGAAAATGTGATCGTCAATAAGAAAAACAACGGAACAAAACAATTAATGCAGCACTGAATTGCCCTTCCCGTGGCGAGTTGACTTAGACCTCAGTAGTGGACTGGACTGGACTGGACTGGACTGGGAGAAATGGCTATTCTGCACTTGACAGGAAAAAACAGACCAGACCAAAGACGGATGTAGTTTCATTGCATTTTCCTTTTATTATGATTTTATTATGCTTAAGCTTAATATTAGTAATATTGATATTAGTAGTGATACTTTGTAATCAATATATATAAACCTTACAATTACATTTTAATATATTTATGGATTAGTGAGGAATTAAGTTCCCCTTTACCTCCTGTGGCAGAGGCCCACCCCAGAGTCAATCCCGGGGGGGGGCAAAATCTGTGAGTATTATGCGAAAAGTTACAAACCTCTTGACTTTTCCCACAATTCACCATTCAACCGGGGCTCGTCAAATACGCCCCTTTTTTTCCCTAGCTCGGTCTGCAGTCATTTCAGCTCACAGGTTCTCCCACAGGGGCCAGGATTCAACACTGCAAGATTCTACACCAGTGGTTCTCAACCT